CCTGGGCGCGGAGGTGGTGAGCGCCCTGCACGAGCTGCGCAAGCTGAACCTCAGCCACAACCAGCTGCCCGCCCTGCCCGCCCAGCTGGGCTCGCTGGCCCACCTGGAGGAGCTGGATGTCAGCTTTAACCGCCTGGCGCACCTGCCCGACTCCCTCTCCTGCCTCTGCCGCCTGCGCACCCTCGATGTGGACCACAATCAGCTCACCGCTTTTCCTGGGCAGCTGCTGCAGCTGGCTGCCCTGGAGGAGCTGGACGTGTCCAGTAACCGGCTGCGAGGCCTACCTGAGGGTATCAGTGCCCTGCGTGCCCTTAAAATCCTCTGGCTGAGTGGGGCCGAGCTTGGCACCCTGCCTGAGGGCTTCTGTGAGCTGGCCAGCCTGGAGAGCCTCATGCTAGACAACAACAGGCTGCAGGCTCTGCCCACCCAGTTCAGCCATCTGCAGAGACTCAAAATGCTCAACCTCTCCTCCAACCTCTTTGAGGAGTTCCCTGCCGCGCTGCTGCCCCTGGCTGGCTTGGAGGAGCTCTACCTTAGTCGCAACCAGCTCACCGCAGTGCCATCCCTGATCTCAGGCCTGGGCCGGCTCCTCACCCTGTGGCTGGACAACAACCGGATCCGCTACCTGCCAGACTCCATTGTGGAGCTGACGGGCTTGGAGGAGCTCGTGCTGCAGGGCAACCAGATCGCTGTGCTGCCAGACAACTTTGGCCAGCTCTCCCGGGTGGGCCTGTGGAAGATCAAGGACAACCCACTGATCCAGCCCCCCTACGAGGTCTGTATGAAGGGGATCCCCTACATCGCAGCCTACCAGAAGGAGCTGGCCCACTCCCAGCCGGCAGTTCAGCCCCGCCTCAAGCTGCTCCTGATGGGCCATAAGGCTGCGGGGAAGACCTTGCTCCGGCACTGCCTCACTGAGGACAGAGTGGAGGCAAGTGAAGGAGGGGACAAGGAGAAGGGCTACTCACCTCCACCGCCGCCCGCGAGCAAGGGCATCGAGGTGACCAGTTGGACAGCCGACGCTTCCCGGGGCCTGCGGTTCATTGTGTATGACTTAGCCGGAGATGAAAGCTACGAGGTGATCCAGCCCTTCTTCCTCTCCCCAGGGGCCCTTTATGTGCTGGTGGTGAACTTGGCCACCTATGAGCCACGGCGATTTCCTACCACCGTGGGCTCCTTCTTGCATCGGGTGGGGGCCCGCGTGCCTCACGCGGTGGTGTGCATTGTGGGCACGCACGCAGACCTGTGTGGGGAGCGGGAGCTGGAGGAGAAGTGTCTGGACATCCACCGCCAGATCGCCCTGCAGGAGAAGCACGACGCTGAGGGGCTGAGCCGCCTGGCCCAGGTGGTGGACGAGGCGCTGGCCCGCGACTTCGAGCTGCGCTCAGCCAGCCCCCATGCCGCATACTATGGTGTGTCAGACAAGAACCTTCGGCGGCGCAAGGCCCACTTCCAGTACCTGCTCAACCACCGGCTGCAGATCCTCTCCCCGGTGCTGCCTGTGAGCTGCAGGGACCCCCGCCAGTTACAGCGCCTTCGGGACAAGCTGCTCTCGGTAGCGGAGCACCGGGAAATCTTCCCCAACTTACACAGAGTCCTGCCCAGGTCCTGGCAGGTGCTGGAGGAACTGCATTTCCAGCCCCCGCAGGCACAGCGGCTTTGGCTGAGCTGGTGGGACTCGGCACGCCTGGGCCTGCAGGCAGGTCTGACCGAGGACCGGCTGCAGAGTGCCCTGTCCTACCTGCACGAGAGCGGCAAACTGCTCTACTTTGAGGACAGCCCAGCCCTCAAGGAACACGTCTTCCACAACCTCACCCGCCTCATTGACATCCTCAATGTCTTTTTCCAGAGGGATCCTTCCTTGTTGCTGCATAAGCTGCTCCTAGGGACCAACGGAGAGGGCGAGGGAGACGGGGAAAGCTCCCTCGTCATGGCACTGCCACCGCCCAGCCAGGACCTGCTCCCGGCCACCCAGCTCCATCATTACGTGGAGGGCTTTCTGCTTCACGGGCTCTTGCCGGCCCATGTCATTCGGTTGCTGCTTAAGCCTCACGTCCAGGCCCAGCAGGATTTGCAACTGCTGCTGGAGCTGCTGGAGAAGATGGGACTCTGCTACTGCCTCAATAAACCCAAGGGCAAGCCGCTGAATGGGTCCATGGCCTGGTACAAGTTCCCCTGCTACGTGCAGAACGAGGTGCCCCATGCGGAGGCCTGGATTAACGGGACCAACCTGGCCGGGCAGTCTTTTGTGGCTGAGCAGTTGCAGATTGAATATAGTTTTCCCTTTACCTTCCCGCCTGGGTTGTTTGCACGCTACAGCGTCCAGATCAACAGCCACGTGGTGCAAAGGTCGGACGGGAAACTTCAGATCTTTGCATATCGAGGGAAAGTTCCCGTGGTGGTGAGCTACAGACCCGCCAAGGGGGTCCTGCAGCCAGATACCCTGTCCATCGCCAGCCATGCCTCATTACCAAACATATGGACGGCGTGGCAAGCCATAACCCCCTTGGTGGAAGAACTGAATGTCCTGCTTCAGGAATGGCCTGGACTGCACTACACCGTGCACATTCTCTGTTCTAAGTGCCTTAAGAGAGGGTCGCCCAATCCACACGCTTTCCCGGGTAAGTGGAGAGAGGGATGTGGGTCTTCTGTGTTTTGGAATGCATTTCTTTAGAAGATTTTTGTTTTTCCTTTGTAAGATGTTTAACCTCACAGGCTTCCCAGGAAAGCTCAAGGTAAATACAAGGGGGTTTGGGGACAAGCAAAAGGCAGTAAGTACATGAGCAATCTGACATACAGTCCCCAGTCTCATACTCTGGTACAAGAGAGATTCAGACTTCCCAAGTGGGTTCTAGTCAAAACATGTGGGTCTCCTTTATTCCCCTCTTCCCAATTGAGCCCGCCTTTCATGGGAGGAAATGTCAGGTCACTGAACGGAAGATGGGGTCTGAGGTTAGTCTCTTGTTGAGCCTGGGTTTTAATGCTTATCAGACACACCCGGAGGGTTTGGGATGCGCCGAGTTTGACATGTCATTGCCATTCTTATTTATTTTTGTTTAAATTTAGAGGGTGCCGTCATAAAGTAAAAAGTATAGCTCACTTTTCTTAAGAAATTCCAGAGAAGAATGTTTTGTAATCGGGTTGGGATTCGTGAAGACAGTGATACTGATATTCATGATGAATTAGTGAAAACAAAACTTTCAGTCTGTAATGCATGACTAACTCCTGGGATCACAGTTTTACTCACCACACTCGTGGGCAGGAACCGCAGCCTACTGAGCTCTCTCGGGACTTTCCTCGGGTACTTCCTGGCAATTTGGTGCTTTACAGATGTTTTAAGGTGTTTTTTTGGTTTGTTTGTTTTTTTGTAAGTGTTAGAGAGTGGAGCTTTTTGGAAGTACTTTGTAAGAGATAGAAGAGACAAAATATTGACAATTTTTTTCTCTTCTGGGAAATGTTTCCCTCCTTCCTTCCTTCCTTCCTTCCTTCTTTCCTCCCTTCCTTCCTTCCTTCCTTCCTTCCTTCCTACTTTCCTTCCTTCCTTCCTTCCCTCCTTCCTTCCTTCCTTCCTTCCTTCCTTCCTCCTACCTACCTACTACCTACCTATCTACCTGAACCATTGTAATGAATGGGAGAACCCAGGATAAGTTGTCTGGGACTTCTGATTCTGCTTAATTGGCATCCTGAGCGTTCAGTTTGGACTCTGTCCATTTCCCACATGTGAAGGCGTTCTTTGGAGCAATTCTTTAAACATCTCAGATATTTGTGGAGCATGGGCTTGGCTAACAACATTCCAAGTGTCCTGAGGACAAACCTGATGATAGTATCATTGCCAGTTTCTCCCCTCGGCCCCCCACCCCAGAGCACATTGAGAGGTGATGAAATAGAAGACTGTACCACTGTGATCTTTGTCCTGGCTGATGCAGCTCGTCATAGTGTCGGGAAGGAACCAGACACCAATATTTCCGAAGGTAACATCTTCCCCTCGCCCTAGATCTAGGCTGAGTTTAATTCTTCAACTTGAAAAAAAGCCATCGTATTCAGTTACCTGTCAACTGAGCTGTCCATTGTGTATGATTATCTGGTGTCTTCTCACAGCCCGAGACTTGGTAGATGATGCTTCAGTTCGTTTTATATTTGCCATTGTGTTTTCTTCCCGAAAGCAGATACTTCTCTATTGTCTAACTAAATTGAATGAAGTGGTTGAGAGTTACATATTCACAGAGTAGCTGATTGAAGGTGCTAACTAAAGCCAATTCTTAATCCAGATGGAACATTCATACAACTGAGGTTATTAGCAACAAAGGGAAAGGCATAGGTTATTGAACAAGTAAAGATCTGTGCAGAGGAATTCCAAGAACTTTGAGGAGTAGACAATGAGGTGGAATTTTTGTGTCCTAACCTCAGCCGTTTATTTTTGGTCATAGTCAAAAATTCCACAAACAGGTCCATTCTCGTTATCATTTGGCCTATTTGCCAGTTAAAGGAGGCACACCTGGTTTGCCATCCCGGCTCTAAGGAAGAGATGATTTTTTCTCAACAAAGAAATGGTTGAAAATTGTAAATTATCTTATATATTGAATAGGAATAAATTACCAGGTGTTTTGATAATATAGACTATTTCTATTTTATTTATGGGCAGAGAAATAAATTATCTTTTTGTTTTGTTTAGGATTCTATTCTAAAAGTAGCAGAGGGCACAAAAGCTGTAGAAAAAGGTGATTATAGTACATTCATTACAATAAGACAACAAGGAAAAAATACATTTTCCTCTTTCATATTTTCCTGTGATAGCCATCATCTGCTAGTATTTGCCACATTTCCAAAAGATTTGGGAATGCCTTAGCCGGTAGCTAAGTGGTTAGAGCATCAGCCCGCAGTCTGAAGGGTTGTGGGTTCGATTCTGGTCAAGGGCAGATACCTCGGTTGCAGGATTGATTCCCTGGTCAGGGCACATGAGGGATGTGTCTCTCTCACATCCATGTTTATCTCTCTGTCTCTCCCTCTCCCTTCCATTCTCTCCAGAAATCAGTGGAAAAAATATCCTCAGGTGAGGATTAATAAAAA